GCCAGAGTATGATGCTAGAGGAGTAGACATGAATCTGCCAATGTGTTCAAACAAATGCAATTATAAAAAGTGTCTCAGCTGAACAGCTGAGAACACTGCATACTTGGGAAGAGTTTCACAACCAAACACTATGGCATCAATAGCAGCCTTCAGAAAAAATCAAAGGGAATTTCTAGTGAACAATGTCGCTTTTGTAGCAGGTTGTTTTTGTTTTTTTATTGAGCTAGTTAAAAACATGAATTTCCAAAAAGATTAAAAACAAACAAACAAACAAAAAACCTAGGTGTAATATTCTGGTTACAAATAAATAGTTACAGGAATAGGTGCAATCTGTCTAGAATAATGGCTGAATCTATTGCTAAATTCAAAGAGAGGGTCAAACCAACAATCATGGTTTTAGAAGTATAAGCAATAATACAAAGTGCAACTGTCCTTAAGACAATGATTTTATGTTGTATATCCACATGAGCTACAAAGGAAGCAAACAAAAGAAAAATAAGCATTTGGCAATAATTATTATTCAGATGAAATGACAGGGAATACATACTAGGAACAGGTTGAAAAGGAAGTGAAATTTTAAAAATAATAAAATAAATTTAGAAGGCGTTTTTGTAGCAAACAGCATACAGCAGAAGTATTTTAAAGGTAGCAGGTTTCAAATCATTGTACAACCACAGCCTCCTTGATATTGCAGTGGCGTTAATCAGTCTTAGGAAAGTCTGAGGGATATGGTTTTCTTGGATGTCATCAAGCTTCAAGATAGGCTGCACCACTGCATCTGGAAACCTCTTCTAAACATGGTATTTCAAGCAGGATCCCACAGGAATTTGTTCCATCTTTAAACTGTACTTAGCATTTTGTCAATTGCATGGATGTTTTAGTAATGAGGACACTTCTAAACTAAGCTGAGACAGAAGCAGTTACAACATGATTAAGAACAGTATACTGGGAGCAGTAAATCCACCCTAATTTTCAATTGAGATGGAGCCAAACTGAAAAAATGCTGAGAATCAAAAGGCTAAACAAGTTTATAAACTAAAGTACCACTTAAGAAGAAATATTGAAGAAATTGGGTTTGTTTCCTCAAGAAAGAGAGGAGGTCCAAGTTCAGACCCGTCTGATTCTTAGACAGAAAGTATTCCTACTGATGGGCTTTTTTCTTAAAGTTTCTAGTCCAGCACAGAATATAAATACTTCCTCCTTCTCTGCCACCTAAAAATGTGATGAACCTGGTCCTACCTTATGACCTCACGACTAGAAAAAAGGAGATTATCCAACTGATTTCTAAGACTGAGTCAATAAGCCCTAATTATAACACTTGATTCTGCCTCTCAGCTGAAGCCCTGCATGGATCTCCTAAGGTCTTTTCCAGACCCTGTGATTTCTGTTGATTCTGTTATTTTATCAGACAAAACTGATTAGCAACATTTTATCAAGCTTCTAGGCAGATAGCTGTCAGTAAACCTTTATATTCCAGCTGTGAACTTGCTCAGTCTATGATACTTTTTTATTTTACGAATATATTCCTCCCACCCACCACAAATGCCAAGCCTGTCCATCACATTAATAACAACAAAAAACATATGGGAGCATTTAAGGGAGAAGATCAGGCATGAGAAACTGCTTCTTCAACTTATTTAGAATCAACTCCAACATGTGTTCCTGACAGAAGAAAAATACGGAGTGTATTGTAAGTCATATTCTTTTCATTATTCTTGTATTAAATGTGTATAAAATATATCAGTTATAATGCTTTCTATTTTACATGAATTACTATGCCATTGAGCTAAGACTTTTCTCAAGTATATATTTCTGAGAGTAGTTTTCCAGTAAAATAAGTTGCGTGCAGAAGCTACAAGCTGTTTCCAAAGCATATATTCACTTTGAAAGTTCTAAACTAAATCTAATATGTTTAATGTTTATGTTCTTGAAAATACATAACTGTATTTAGCAAGAAGCACTGGTGATACGATCTAAGAAACAGTTTCTATACTGCTTATTAACAATTTCTATAAAATTGCAAATTGAGAACTCATTTTATGAAACTCCAAGGAGCTGTAGCCTATAAAAACATGCCTCTTCTGTGGCTAGCACATTCCATACGAAAGGAAAAAGAAAGCTTTCAGCTTACAAAAAAATGTATACTGTAACATTGTATGAATTCTTCCTTTTTGTAGGAGTTATATATGAGAATGATTTCCTATTGAATGGTCAAATTATGTGGTGTCTAAAATGTGTTCGTTAACTAAGATTCCTCTAAAATGTTATGCTTCCCAAGGGATAGCAAGATAAAGATCTGAATCAGATGTCATTTTCACTGTGGGCTCCAGAAAAAGATAAAATTTCTTAATGTAGAAAAATCAAAGTATTGACAGAAAGTTTTAGTGTCTCCAATTAGATACAAGCAGACTATGCTTCAAAGTCAGACTATCAAAGGAGTACTCAGCATTGAGTAAGTTTGCTCTGCCCATGGTTGGTCTTAGTTCTCAATCAAGTTTCTACAGTTTGCTTGGAAGTTGTGTGTAGGGCTCTGGCAATTTTGAAAGAAACACCATGGCCATCCTTTAGCTGGTGAAATCTGAAAGCTAAGATATCCCCATCACAGCCTTCACAGACAGTATGTGTTCATATGCATATATTTACTTAGATGGCTATGAAAATTGGTTTGCTGCGTAAGGTAACATGAGAGCACTAAAGAAAATGAGTAAAAAGATATAGAGTCCTCCAAATTCTTGAAATAATCCCCTTGGAGCTAACGGAAAGTAAGTGGAAGCAAGTGATAACATTCTCCATCTCCATTGTATACACTTGAGGAAAGAAAACTACTGATCAAACTAACGCTAAGTGTCATCATCAGAGATTAGCTACAGATTCTCAGATGAGCATCTCCTTATCCCTGCTTCTTTTAAGTTTGTATTGTTGACATTGTTTTTAATTCAACTGAAACACAAATGGCAAAATATTTCTGACAAACTGTAGTCTTAGTGTTCCATCCAGTTCTGCTACAGCTCCTATGGGACCCCAAAGCTGTATATGACTCTCCCAAAATAGATGTCCCTCTCACCCAGGGAGAGGAGAACTGCAGAAATACTGGCCTCAGGCGAGTACTATCCCAACAGCCCAGAATATGTAGTCCTGGCAGTATCAATAAAAGCAATGGCAGGAGAATTAGCCAAATGTCACTGTTTCAGGGATCAGAGCAATAAGCAAGAAGCAGGATGGGAGAAGAGCTGGATGTGGCAGGGTGTGCGAGCTGACAGGACAGGGCTTCAGCTCACACTGCAGACTGGGATATAGCATATGAACACAGCATTGGATGATCACAGGAGGTAATTAACATCTACTCACATGCCAAGACTTCTGAAAATGCTACTGGCATACTGGACCATAATAAAGATAAGAGCAGGTACTGTTAGCAGCATGAATTGAATTGCAACATCCTCTTTACTCTCAAAATCCATGTTTAGCCTGTCTCTAATATATTCTCAACTAGAACTGCATACACTTACTCAGTAACCAAACTGTAATGTGGAAATAACAGCATTGCTGCACTTCACTTTATTCATGTTTTGTACCTGATACCATCTTATTTTGTAGTTTCTTCCAAACAATAATTAAACTTTTAATTCACAAGACTCCCCCCCCGCGGGGGCCCCCCCCCCCCCCCTCCACTGAACATGAAGGTCCTTCTACTGACACAGTCACCCCTGCACTGAAATTCAGCAGACAAAATCTCTGAAGGGGAGATTTTCTCTTTCTCCTGGGCCTGCACACAGTGGAAGAAAGCATCACTGTCTCCCATCTGCCAGGGCAATGTCACCACCTTGGAACAACTCACAAGCAAAACACTATAAAATTCAATTTAACTTTTCTTACAGTGTGCACACTTAGGCACTTATATTTTCTATTCTCTGGAAGCAAAGTTTAAGATGCAATGGTGATCTATCTTAATTCTGCATTTCTGAAATTCCAGCTGCTGAGTTTTTGCCAAATTCAATGTTCTGCAAAGAAACAAGACAGAAAAGTGTTTAGAGCATTCAGTGGTAACTAATGACCCACTGAAATCCATTTTAACCTTTGAACACGTGCCCAAAATCCATTTTGCAGAGGGAAATAAAACAGTAATAATAACTGGAAAGAAGAAAATAATATTCCTTGGTCTCCAGTCTTTTACAAAAACTTTGTTATTTCTCCTCTTGAGGTGACTCATATCTGCTGAGAAAAATCATCTGAGTTTGTTTCAGCAGCTGCATCTTTGCAATTGTATTGCCCAACCTATAAAGCAATGTCTCTCAAATTTTCCCATCGTTCCCGTTTTAGATTATGAACCCTGCCCCTCCTCTTTGAGAGCTGCTTGTGCTGCTGCTCTGCAACTGGAAGTGCAGCTGGTGTCAGAGGTAAGGAGGCAGAGGATTGTTGCCAGTTGGGCAGGAATTCAGCTCCTGTAGGTGGCTGGGCTGGGACAGTTTCAGACCACTATTGCATATTGATACAAATTTATGGTGCCCAGGCTTGAGACAAAGAATCAAATTACATAATGTAACAGTATGGATGTAAACTTTGAGTAACTAAGATCTATTTTTTCCCATGTAAACAATGCAGCACAATATGTCAAAATACACAAGTAAGCCAAATGCAATCTGAAGGCACATTCAGGCTATTGTACTAAGGAGTCCAAGGTAGGCAAGGCATAGCTATCATTAATACTTTCTGCAACAGATACAAAAAAATGTTTCCATATTTAGATCTACAAACATGCAGATGACTCAGAAGTATTTTACATGCTGAATCTCAGCAGAATTTGCTTACCCAATTTCAGTAATAACTGATATTTGCATAAGCTGATATTATGCAACAAAGCTTTCTTATACTGAAAAGTCACTCTTTTTTTTTAGGAAGTTGATACTTCCTAAACTGCTCTTTAAAGGCGTTCACTTTAAGTGAGCAAACAGGAAAAAAAAAATACAGAAAGGACTTCCTCTTAGGATTTCTACAGCAGCTCAAAGACCAGTGAAGCAACTCAGTGTTATTCGCACAGATCAAGTCTCCCTCTCTGGATAGCAACATGGCCACAAAACTGCCATCTCAAGAGGAATGTGAGAGCTGGACAGCTTTTCAAGTCGCAGACCTCCTAAGACAGGTACAGAATGTCAATGTAACACTTTAGACAGTTCAGTCTATATTCAGCTAGCAGAAAGTCTTAACAGATACTGTGTACAGACATCTTACCATAAAAGTAAACTTGTCAGCAATTGCCACCCATGAGAACACACTGCAATTTTCTTGGTGTTCTCCTTTTTTTAATAGAAACCAAATTTGTGGCAGAAGTTGCTAATTACAATCTCCTACATGGCCAGTCATAATAATATGCTTGATCACAGCAATATCTCTCAGGGTACAAGAGGTATTTCATGCCCTCGATTATACATATATATTATATATATATTTACATTTATATATTTATATATATATAAATTTGCAATCGTATTGCCCAACCTATAAAGCAATGTCTCCCAAATTTTCCCATCGTTCCCATTTTAGATTATACATATTATATATTATATATATATTGTATATATATATTATATATATATATATGAGAATAAATATCCATTTTAGCGAATATGAGCATAGATCTTAGATTTCAATTTTGCTTTAAAATTTGCAGCCTGTGAGTAAGAATCCAACTCTTTGACTTTTCTTCTCAGTGCATACATACCCACTGTAGCTGCTAGATGTTTCCTTAAGGTAGTTTGGTCTTTTTCTTCAGTCGTTCCTTTGTCTGCTTGGAACTTTTCTACCTATACAGTGTCCGTTCCAATGTATGCAAAACAACCTGAGTTGCACTAAGTATTTCAAGATTGTCTCTTTCTATTTAATACTATGACTCAGCTTTTAGATTTCTACATATAACTGTACGATCAGTCCACTCACTGCATTTTGATAAATATAATCTCTCTCTCTTTTTTTTTTTTTTTTTTTTTTTTTTTTTTTTTAAGAAAATTTCTCTATATAGCTGGAGTTTATCCTACTTCTAACTGCAAAAGTACCAATCTTTGCAATGCTTGCTTCATTCAGTTAGGATGTAACATTACTAGGCTCTCATCTTTCTCAATTGAAGGAGCATGCAACATCTTAACATCTTTTGAGGGGAAAACTGTGTTATCAGGTGTTTCTATACTTGGTTCCACTTGTAACCACAAAAGAAAATTGGCCAAAGTTTAAAACGTTCATGTATTTATTTATCTTTCCATGTTTGCCTTGGGCATAAATACATACTTTTATGCATTTAAAAACTTAAAAAATAAAAAGTTGCCTGATCCTGACAGACCACAAGTGGGTCGCAGTCTGAGAAAGCTGACTTGTTAGGAGGAATTAATTCATACCATATGATAGTGTGACAACTAAACTCTTGAGCTTATTACTGCGAACAGTTAGTTGGAGAATTAGCTCAAAGCTTTGTAGCTTAAAGGAAATCAGACTAATTAATAGATGATACAGTGATTCTAATTACCAAGACAGAAAATTAATAACAATTGTTTTATAGCTCAGAGCCTTACAAGGAAATATCAGCATGCACAGTGTAACTGCTGACTTGCTAGGTGGAAGACTTAAAACCTCTCTCTTCTACCCTTGTAAAAAGCTATTAATGCTTATATTCACATCACAAATTAAGGCAGACAAGTGATCCTATCACTGCAGCATAGCCAACAGCAGGTTCTTGGCTGTTCTGTGTAGCAAGGACCAGTGCTAGGAGCTAGGAGCCTCCAGTACCTGTCCTGAAGAGATGCAGTACCACTGCCCCCACAGCCAGTGCCAGAGGGCTGCCAGAGACTTCCCCAGAGACCAGCTATACGTGCACATGAGCCCTAAAATCTTGCTGCTCAGATTGCAGGACCAAACATTCAGAATCGAAAAATACCATAAATGGGATTACCTCTACAACCTGAGCTTGCTCCATTTTATATATTCTTGATAACTTGCAACTGCTTCTATGTGTGCTATCTTTTCCATTGAGGAAAAAATCTGCTTCTTTCAGTGCAGAAAAACCTGTATGTTTTGTGCACTACCCTGGGCTGTAATTCATATGTAAAGCTTGCAAGGCCAGGGCTTGCTGAAAAAGAGGGAACAAAGTCATGGTGACGTGAAGTTACCTTGAAATATCAGATTCTGCCAGGACTCCAGCACAGTATTTTTACCTGAATCCATGCAAGCCACTTGTGGAGGGAATGAAACACATTTCCTGAGTGTTTGAGTTGAAATTTCAGGCTCTAATTTGCAGCAGTGGTGATAGTGGGAGCTCCGCTCAGAAGCTAAAAATTCCGAGTTATTGAATACATACATATATACCTTACATCCTGCCTAGCTTTAATTAGGTGTCCTAAACCAATGGATTCTATGAGAGCTGCTCCAAAATTAATGCCTCCTATTTCATTTGGTTCACCCATAACAGATGCTAGCAGGTGTTGGTGGTATAGCAGCACATTTTGACCTTTCCTTCCAATATTCTATTACATTTTATTGCTGTAGGACAGATGGTAGCAGAGGGGCTGTCTGACAAAATGGCATCAGACATGGAAGAGTGTATGAAGCAAATTCCTCCATGTAGGAAAAATATCATCCATTGACACTCATTGACCATTATGAACGTTTATGGAGACCAAACAGTGGATGTTAGAACAGTGAGGCTGTGGGCTGTGCATTTCAGCAGTGCATAGCAATAGTGGACCTCCTTTTTTGTGTAAATTTTTATGAATGTGTCACTCAGGTTCATCACTGATGAAAATGCAGTTTATGGTGATGGGTATGGTGATTGTCTTGCATCTACTCTGTAACTGCAACTACACAGATATTTGATGTTATGCACAGACTGTATCTATTTGGTGACCATTTGCTATGTGGCCTAATCGTTCTCTGTACTGACGAATTACTTTAGAAAATCGACATAAGTATTTCTATGAGTATAACCTATTTTCATTAATGTTCTCTGTTAGTGTCTGAGTTGGCCATTACTACCACGAAGTTTAATTATAATATAGAAAACAGTCACCAAGAACTAATACATATGTGACAATTATGACAGTTTTTCCCCATGATTTATAATCCACGATGAACAGATTTCCAGTTTAAATACCATATTTACCCAATTACAACAAACAAGTATTTAAAACATTACAGGCCCAATCCTCCAAAAACCTGGATGCTGTCTTCGAGCTTCTCCAAAAAATTGCAGGGTAGCCAATACCTGTCTTCCTTTTGATCATCATGATCAGATATTTAACAGCTTTCTGGAGCTCAGTTGTTGAAATCAGGTTGGATATTAGAAAAAACACTTTCTCAGAGTGGCTATGCATTGGCACAGGCTGCTCAGAGAGATGGTGGAATCACTGTCTCTGGAGGTGTTCAAGAACTGTGGAGATATGGTACAGAGGGACATGGCTAGTGGGTTTGGTGGTGATGGATTGGTAGTTAAACTGTCTGATCTTAGTGGTTCTTTCCAACCTTAATCTCTCTATTAAAAAAATCAGAACTAATTAAAGAATGTATAGAATTTGTCTTGAAATTCATCAATAATGGAACTAAAATACAGACTGAATTATTTGACTAAGCATTGCAAACACAAACTCATTTCAAGAATGGCACTTCCTTAACAAAAAAAAACAATTTTTACCCACTTTCCACATACACCTGCCATTTCTTTGCAAAACCAACCTAAAACACAATATAGCAACAAGTGAGAATTTTAAGGCATTTCAGTAAAGTATAATCAATCTGTCCAATTTATTTATTTTTCCCAAATTACTATTTAGGTACTGTCATAAAGAAATACTACTATTGACTATCCCTGTTTCATCTGTATTATAAACAACATCAGTTTTCCTTGGGGGGTAGGGGAAGAAAAAATGACCACGTTACAGAAGAAAGATCCTGTTTCTGAGCCTAAATTTTTTCCTGGCAGTGCTCATCTGTCATGGGAACTGCAAGACACATCTTGCCCAGTCTCCTTCTCCTGGTGCATACACAGTTGGTTTACAGGCATGTAACAGGAGAGCTCCCTTTCTTGAACAGCCTCAGTTTCCAGCAGTCAGGGTATAATCATTTCCTGAGATTACAATTACTTTTGGGCTAAATCATAACCAATCTTTTTCACCTGTGTCTAATTTTGGCCTTTTCTCATTCTACAGCAATTAAATCTCTATTGCTTATTTTTGTTGGGCTCTTTGTTCTATTTGTTACATTTTCTGCTTCTTAATTTTGTCTCCTCTTTACATTCATTATTTCATCAGTCCTCATCCCTTCTTTGCAAAGACAGAGAGAATAGAATGGTCAGGTTTGGAAGGGACCTCAAGGATCATGAATTTCCAATCCCTCTGCCACATGCAGGGCCACCAACCTCCACATTTAATACAAGACCAGGCTGTGCAGGGCCCCATCCAACCCGGCCTTGAACACCTTCAGGGACAGGGCATCCACAACCTCTCTGGGCAGCCTGTTCCAGCACTTCACCACTCTCTCTGTAAAGAATTTCCCCCTGACATCCAACCTAAATCTTCCCTCCCTAATAATACAATGCCTTATCTCTTCTTATGTGGAAGTCACTACCTATTCCTAAGCATTGCTATTATTCTTCCCAGTATTCTTAATTATCCATACTAAATATTTCTACAGCCATAAGTATTTGAGCATGGAAATATTAACCAGCTTCTTCATAAATTTCAAGTTCCACACTCAATTCTACTTTTTCTTACACCTCAGTTTGGAATGCCTGAATCTGCTGTGCTCGTAGAAAAACTGGGTATGGATGGATCTCATTTTTTGGTAAGCAAACCTTTTACAAGAGGTACCAGTCAAATGCATTTCATTTGTCTTGTATTCCTTACAGTGTCAGGAATTACTGACATTTTCATTCTACATATGCACTTCTTTGTCTATTGCTCTAGCTTCCCATTTTGGTGTGTTGATTTACTTCCCTGACTGAAGCACTGTAAATCCCAGCCACCCCTTCCTTCCCTTCAGACAGAGCACAGATATGTAGCACATTTTCTCTCTGTATTTACCCATGTTCTACTGTAGCCAGGAATGTCTCTTATGAAATATAACTTCCACGATTGCTGGGTTTTGTTGTTTGGTTATTTCTTGGTATTTTTAAGAAAAATATATTTTAAAGCCATTGCTTATGTACAAGCTTTTCCTAAAACCTGCATGATTACTAGTACACAATTCCACAAATTTTGCATGAAAAGTATAGAGAATTCTGGGAATATCTGAAAAATTCTGACAGCCTCTTCTGTTGTGCTCTGTTATCATGTGGGGTTCTCTCTTTGTTTATTTTTGTATGATTGTGGTTCTATTGATTTCAACTAATACATAGAGAGAGGAATAGAGCAAATCCTTGACCTTGGGCAATTCCTTTGCACTAACTGGATTTGTGTAGCTTTCGAAGTAAAATAACCTTAAGACCTATTTTAAGGAAAAAATAATTGCTACAATAATAAGAGAAATAATTGTTACTTGGCACTTTGTTTCTTAACAAAGCTGTTTGCTGGAAGCACCAGAAGGTTTTAAATTGTTTTTGTTAACAGAGGATCCTGTCCTGTAAATCCTGTCCTTACCACAGATACTCAGGTACATGCAGGTATACTTTAATACTTCATGGCCACAATGTAAAATAGAGTTTTCTAACAATTCATGCTAGGCTGACAAAGCTGTCCAATATAGGCTGAATTCTGTGCCTTTCACATGTTATAAATCAAACTACGAAAGATGCCGTAGTCACAGAAATTCTATTGCTGGAGAAGGACTGAGGTTAAAACTGAATGGATTGTCTCTTCTTACCTGCTCCAAGAAGCAACGTGCAGCAGCAGTGAAAAAGGATGTGAGAAGTATTTTCAAACATTAGTGGTAAACTAATAAAGCACAAGTGAAAAAAGCAAGAGGAACCATAGGTGGTCTGTGGTGATGATGAGTGAAAGAGAACTTTTTAAAAAGCAATATGACTAAAATGAAAGTATTTTCTAGTATGCTTTTCTAACTGTGTATTCTCTAACACATTTTTAAGCACTATTTTGCATTGCAGAAACGGTATCAATGTGTGTGATACAATGAGAACATCCGTTTTCAAAGGCATTGTGCAAAAAATGAGTCAGGACGCAACTGTAGTAACACTCCTACGGCTTTCATGTTCTTTCATTGAATTATTCAGTAGCTATGTCAACATGATAAATCTGTAATAAGTTAAGCTTGAAATAATTAAATACAACAATACTAAAAAAAAGATTCAAGAACTTATGTTTTGGTATCAATTATAGCAATATATGAGTAATTGCAAGGTGTAGTTCACCAATTCACAAGCTAATATGTAAATTAACTGTTAAATAATTTTTAAAATGTCCCACTTTCATTTCAAGCTCCTAGCATAATTTACAAGAAAATTAAAATATTCCAGGAATGAGAAGTTCCTCCTCTATTGTATGGTGTCTGATTTAGAATGTACCCCCTTGGCTAATCGCCTTTGATAATTTCCTCTGTGATGGAAAAAGCTATTAATATTTAAGATTTGAAAGATCTGGTTAAGGAGCTGTTCCTAAGAAAAGGAACATTTCTTTAGACCAAAAGCAACGATCTAATTGTATCCAGCCCCTACTTTTCACAGAATCACACAGAATCACAGAATCACCCGGGTTGGAAGGGACCTCAAGGATCATGTAGTTCCAACCCCCCTGCCTGGCAGGGCCACCAAACATACACATTTAGATCAGGTTGCCCAGGACCCTGTCCAACCTGGCCTTGAACACGTCCAAGGACGGGGCATCCACAACCTCCCTGGGCAGCCCGTTCCAGGGCCTAACCACTCTCCTTGTAAAGAACTTCCCCCTAACATCCAACCTAAATCTTCCCTCCTTCAACTCCTTCCCTCCTTCACTTTTGTGGTAAAATAATCTTGGATGTGCCATTCTAGAGGCGTCACAGCATTAATTGTGGCAATTCACAAGATACTCCAGTCCATCCCTCCAAGGCATGGACACTGGGTCTTACTAACATATAAATGAGCGTCTGGAGTAGAGCTTCCCAAGAATTCACGCTCCGCTTTGTTAACATTAGAATGATGTTCCTAACACTTTCAGAGAAATGAAAGAGGTTTGTTAGTGGGGGCAGATGCTGCCCACAAGTTCTCTCATTATGATCACAGTTCAGTTTCTCTCTGACCTGGCTTAAATTGTGCTTGTGTTATAATCCAAATACACATAATTCCGATATTCTCTGACAAAACATGGAATACCACAACCAGATTGGTATGGTACATACTATAATTACATACATTAAAAATCTGTGTTTCTACTCTGTACCACCTAAAATGTGATTCCTCAACTTTATCTACTGGTTTGTCAACAGAAGGATGGAAATCCAAAATACTGAAGTCCTGCATATGTTATTTTATCCATATTTTCTTTTACCTTTGGCAAGTGCCTTAGGTTATGCATCTCACTTTATCATTCAGTTCCAAGTGCCATATAGTTTACTTCACTCCACTCCACAGAGTCTTAATAGATGTCCAGTATTACCTTTGGACACTGAGCTAAAAGTCAGTGGTGGAAACTAGATAGAAATGTACGCACACAAAAAAGAAGAAAAAACTTCAACAAGCCCGATACCATCTGCAGGAGTTACAGGTTTACCTACACAAACTCATAATTTATAATAAACAAATACAAGCTTGCCACTGTATATGTGCATAGAAACTCTGTGAAGATAGGTGGATCTCTTATAATGCATGTACAACACTGCTGCATCTATATAACTTTAGATGGATGTTTAGATGTAGCCTGGTTTTATTATAAGCTCTATTAGGTATTACTGAAAATTCCTTCTGGACTATCAGATGAAGAAAGAAACTCTGTAGTACTTCCCATGTGAGCTGAGTGAACTTTTCCCCACTTTAGAGAGGGACAATTTTCTGCTTTACCTTTGCATGGTCTGAAAAAGTCCTTCTGCCTCGTGTTCTGCTGCAGAAAGCAAATCAGAGAGCCTTGCACAGGCTGGAGACAGTTTGACAGGAGCCAATCAAATGCCTACCAGCAGCTCTTCACAAGCCTTAGACAAGTCCTTGTTCCCTCACCTGCCCCCCTGCCATGGCACCAATAATTGAAGCCTGTGCAGATGAAGTTTTTGCTCTCATGAGGGATGCTCAAATCAAAGCTGCAATGCTCCCCTCCAGTGAAAGCCCCTTGACAGCCGTTGTTGAAACCACCAGCACATCAGATGTGTCTGTTTCCTGTGTGGTTTCAGCATGGACATCTATCATTTAAAATTTTGTCCAAAGAAAGGATATTATCAAAAGTTTAAGAAATGCTGCAGGAAGTAATTACCATAGAATCAGAATGGTTTATGTTGGAAGGGACCTTCAAGATCATCTCATTCCAAGCCCCCTGCTATATCCAGGAACACTTCCCTCTAGACCGGGTTGCTCAAAGCCCCATCCAGCCCGGCCTTGCACGCTTCTGAGGAGGGACCATTCACAGTCTCACTGGGCAACCTGTTTGTGTCTTGCCACCTTAAGTTTACCATACAACCGTATAACTAACATAAAAACTCTGAGGGGGGAGGGTTCTTGCACAACACATACTTCATGTCAAATACAAATAGCAGTTCATTCAATGGTGAATTAAATGGGTTTATCAACACTAATGTCTTTTTGAAGTTGAAGACATTCAAAGCCAAGACATGCAGGCACTGTAGCCACACAGAATTTAGCAAGTTGGCCACAATACCTTAAATCCATTTTTTCTGGTTTCAGAACGGAAATAACCTACACTCATATGATCAAGGTTGTAGGGAGGGAGTGTTTTGGAGTATTCCTTTGAGTGGTTAAAACAATTGCTCCATAGCAATATTACATTCTGTTTTATAAACATATTGGGTATCAGGAAGATCTTCCACATAAAAAAAACTGCACATGCTTTATAAAAATTTAGAAGTAGTAACTCATCCTTTTCTCATCTGTAAAATCTAAAAATGCGGAACAATAGTATATTAGCTCTGAAGCATACTGTACAGTTTCATTTTCCTTTTTTATCTACAGGACTCTGCTTGTGATGGCTATTCAATATGCAAGTCACATCTGAATGATGCTAATCTTGTCCCAGTGTGCAAATCAGCATTTAGCCACAGCTGCATTGCACAGAGCATATTATATTCTCTCTTGCTTTTTTAATATCTGAATTTGCTACACTGTACTCTGATTTTCTTTTCTAAGAGTAGGTTTGTTTCAAGTTTTTTAATTCAGGTCTGAATTTCCAGTGACAGACTGAGAAGGATATAAAAAACAGTGAATTTTGAGTTGGACTTCAGGACACAAACAGGTCAGTTTTATTACATAGATTGCATACAGAAATCTGCTAGGAATTCTCATAGAATCAATCTGACCATTTTTCTAAGCAATTTTAATGTATTTCTCCTCTATTTTTTTTTCAAAATTCAGATCACATGATTGGAACACAAGTACCTTGGAGAAAACCAGTCCTATTTCCATCACCAATACACTAGCAGTTTTATTGAGTAATGCTTGAAGAAGGAAACTTGCATTTTCCTGTGGGAGATTTCTGCCTCTCTGCCAGTGCAAAACACTGCCAGATCTTGCCAGGTTCAGCTCACTGAGGCTGTACTTTGACATTCATTTATGTCAGATATTACTGAGAAAAGGCAAGAATTGTCTCACTCGGATGCTCTCCCATCCCCACAGTGCAGCAGCAGCAGACAGGAAAGGGCAGGTCTGCAGCTCCTCTGTTGGTGCATGAACCCTGCATGTCCCTTAAGACCTGAACTACTCCAGATACATCTAAGAGGGTGTTTCCCAGTACTGGGAGTGGTATTTCAGCAGCATAAGGTGGGGGCAACTGAAAGCTGAGGTTTGGTTTATTAGCTGTCAGGAAAGGTGCAAGTTGCATCCAGTTTAGTTCAACTGGATCTGACACACAGTCCTGTATACTCAGTTTTAGAAATAAAGTTTGGACCACAAATATCCCGAGGAAAACAGCGTCTTCTCAGGTCCTACTGTAAACAAGAAACTTGCTAATTTATTACTAAGGCTGCTGCAAAAGACCAAGAAACACTTTATGTGTTTTCCCCACATGTCAGTCAAGAATAGAAAGTCTCCTGTGGGTGAGGTCCAGAGAAACATGATGACAGAAGTTGCAGCTACTGGTCAGAAGTGCTCTCATGACAGCTAAATGCTGCAATTCTATTGCCAGCATAACATAATATAATGGTAAACTGCTCATCTCAGAAAGCCAGAAAAAGCTTTCACATAGTCACACAAAACTTCAGTACTGATATTTTGGGGGTCCCAATTTTTGTGCATGCGCACACACACACATAGAAGCAATCTTAGCAATCTTGTCCTGCCTCAGCAAGTGTACAAGCTTCCCCCTGACAAAAGTCAGCAATCGTTCTCAATATGGAAGTGATAGTACAAAAATGAGTATTTCCAGCTGCAAAACATACATAGGCCATACAATTGCATTAAATTCCTTGTCACTGTGCACAATTTCTAGCCTGCTAACGTTTATTTCTCCTATTCACATTCACTTACGTTTGACACTGTTTTCTTCTCCTTCCCCCAACACACTTTGCTAGGGTGAGTTCCTATATCCTCCACTTATCACAGACTTCTTTTGGATGCTTTCTACCCATCCCATGTTTTCCTTCCTGTCAGCTTCAAGTCAGCCTCTTCTTTTCATTTTCTCCACAATTCCTGTTTATGAAAGGACATTGCTCTTGGCTGACGGATTTGCAGTCCTCAAAGATTTCCTCATTGCCATCCCCCTAGCTGTAGAGGTTCCCCATCAGATGCAGTGAGCCAGCTTGAATATGAAAAGTATACTTTCAGAAACAACTTCATTTCAATTATTCCTGCAGGCTCTAGACTCATGGAGACAATGAAGAGCCTAGAAGCTGGTCAGAGCCAGGCACCTTCAGAGCTTGAACTCTTCTGCACTAAGACAAGCAATCTTGGCATCTCTCCCTATATCAAGTGCCTTGTGGATTTGGAAAACACTTAAAGCTGTTTGAAATTAAAGTTTCTCAGGGTAGATGGAAACTGAAAATAGTTTCTCCTCCAGGGAGATGGATGGAAAGCATTAAAACTGAGGGCAAAGAGCGTAACAGAGAGCAGAGGAGCATTGTCTTTGCCCCTCAGCCATTCTTGCAGACAGCTGCAGTGGGGCTACCTATAAGAGCAGGATGCATAGCAGCAGCTTTCTGGGTCACTCTGAGCATCCTCTACTCCAAGCAAGGGGAGAGGTATGGGGTCAGCTTTTAGCTGCTTCTAACCAAATAGGAAACTGTCTAAAAGCAGAGTCACAAGTTCTTACATCATTTCAAGCTGAGGAAAATAATAGGAGCAAAGCACAGACAGGGGCTAAATGTAAAAATAAATAAAATAAATAAGTAAATTAGAGACTAAGAGTGACCTTAAAGAGATCTTAAGATAAGGGCCAAAAAGGGAGATATTTTACAGTCCATCACTTCTGCTGCCTATCAGTCATCCCATTAGGTAATAGTGTACAAGGACAATATTTATTCATATTCCTTCATGTCAAAAAAGACATAAGAACACACAAGTTAATTTAAGTTAATAAGAATATGAGCTATCAATTCTTTAATTTGAGAGTACATTAAGGGAGCGTTAGTAAAGAAAACAAGTGAATAAAACTGTCTAATGCCATGACCTATCAATGCAATCCTGTAGTAAAAATCCTGAGTCAGTGTGAACATATTCAATTCAGGGCAGGCTCCCTACTTTTTCCTTTGACAGAACCATATTTCTATTCATATTCCAAATACTGCTGCCAAAAGTGATTTGAGCATAAATTTGTTTGTTTTATGCAGTGGCTGGAAATGATGAGAAGTGCTTCTCTGCTTTCTAGTTTTTATGCTCTGGCACACAACAACCCAATCAAATTCTAAATGTCAGATTATTCATAATTATATTAAATATGGATTAAAGGAATATATTTTGATACAGAACTCTTTGTTCTTAAGGTTAACTGATAATTTTAAACATTATTAAAAATATCCTTCAAGTCTTGCGGACCTTTCAAATTCAAGGAACATAAAGAATGTGAGAAGTTATGGAAATTTTAAGCTATTGTGTCACAATGTTTCCAATACTGACTTCATAAGCTCTGAACTAGACAACTGAAAAACTCCAAACAGTCTCAGTATTTCCAGTTCTGAACTTCCCATTTCTATTTTATTCAGATATCCCAGTTATAAAAAAAAAAATGCACCTCTTCAGACAATAGAACATCTTAGGAAATTGCCTTTAGAGATCATTCGTGATTTGAAGAACCTTCATTTTGGGTGTTTTTGTGCTGCTTCCTTCCTGCATATCGGGAGGGTTTGTTTTTGTTTGTTTGTTGTTTTTACAATGCTTGCATGTTGGAACTTAATACTAATGCCTGAAATCATTAGTCATTTTTAAAAATCTGTCCAGAAACTATAATCACTCATCTTGTCAAATACCAGCTGCTAATGATTTCAGTACTTCTACTTTCTATTAGCAGTTCCCTGTAGAGGGCTATAAATTCCTAATTCTCTTCTCTCTATTTTATGCTTGAAGAAACAGATGAATGTGGGAAACAGACACTAAAATGACAGGTTCCATTTTTCTTTACTTCTGTTCGAGACTCTGATCTTGCAAAACATGCATCAGTTGGCAGAGGCACATTGTAAGTAACAGAAAGATTATTAAACGAATTAATTATAGGTTTCAGTGAGTAAGTCCCACAAGAGGTCAGCAAAGTCACTTAAGCAGAGAAGACAGCAGATCTCAATACTTTTCTTATTGACAGCATTTAAACCTTTATACAGACTTGTCATTACCTACTGATAGATGAGCCCTTAGCACTGCTCAACTACTGAACAATTTTATATAGTTTCATGTCCGCTTGACTGAATGTCACTCAGGTCACACAGCAGCTGGAAAGTATTGGCTGACTGCAGCTTGCTAGAATGCTAGAGGAAGTAGCATTTTGTTTCTCTAACAAGGAACTAAGGTGAAACAGTTGGTAAGAGTTTCCCAAAGATACAGATTTAGATAAGGCCAAGGTTATAAAATGGTTACTCCACATTTCTTGCCAAGAGTGGAAGAAAAAGCTCAACAACTGAAGTTTTGCAGGAGAACTTGGCATTTAAAAGGTAAAAAGATGGGTTTTACAGAAGTGTGAGAGACCTGAACTAATTGAAGGGAAGAGTATCCATCAACTTGCAGTAGCGTTTCCTTCAGTAAATAGTGCTTCCTATCAACCCCAAATGACAGAAAGATTACAGATTTTCAGAAAATTCTCTTTTGCTCATATCTACAGCAATTTTATCAACACTGCCTGTGCCAGCTCTATGAAAGGGTGTTATATCAAAAACTGTAGGAGCAAGAGCACTGAAGACAAAGCTGAAAATATGGGTCACTGAGGTATCTGCAGAAAGGGAAAGCTTTAGACCAGATGATTTTATTGTTCTTACATCTATATTAAAGATATATGTGAGATTTCATACAGTTAGAGAAACTGCAAGGAACTTGTGTTCATTTCTGGGTCCAATTTCTTTTTCAAAGATTTTTTTATTAGACATCATAATAAATTGGAAAAATTAAACTTTCAACTGGACAGTTTCCCTAGAAAGAACTTTAAGAATAAAAAATGCTGAGTATTTAGTAATCCTGTAATGGAAGAGCCGCAGAGAGAACAGTGGATCTCACAGAGGTGGCTAAACTTGTAACCCTAGTTTCTTGGCATCGTGAAAATGAAAAGAAATTGAGCAGCAATCAAAGTAGAAGCGACATCAACCCAGCTGAACCAGGAGTTCATTAGGTATTACTGGGATTGTGGGTCTGTAGTACTCAGCCTGGAAGATATTTCTGGAGGTTTCTGCAGCTAGGACTAATCCCAACTGAGTTTTTGGTGGGTTTTTTTTTTTTTTTTTTACTCCTTTGAGGAAGCATTAACACGGTTTAAAATAATAATAATAATGTTGTGAAGGAGTTTTTCTAAGACTGAGCCACTCTTATGGCTCTTTTCTGGTTTGAAAAGCCCAATATATATGATTCAACCAAAAACCAAGATATCCTGAGAGAAGCAGAGAGAATGGGAATCCTTGGGGTCAGAGTAGGAAGACTCTGAAGATGTAAATTATTAATTTCCATTGGATTCAGAAAGAGGACTTTTCTGCATGCATCACATATAGCAATCGGTATAGAAGATTTCTATGCTACACTATTTAGTTTACACAGAAGCTTTAACATGAGTTGCTGTTCCAAACAGGGCAGATGCAAAGGCCCCAAACATTGCCATGCAACTTGGGCTGGTAAGTGATACTAGCCCCAAAACAACAAAGTTTTTCCAGGGAGTTACATTGAGCTCATATTCCTACGGAATCAAAGGAGAAAAAAATTGGAGTCTCAGCTGCAGAAATATGTCAATAAAGAAACAATAATAATAAAAGACACAAATTTAATTTCCCAGAAGAGCAAAGAAATGCATTTTTGTTGAAGCACCATCCAAACCTGTCTGGATGCTATCTACTGCTA